GCTTGTCCCCCCAGGTTCTCCCCAATTACCATTGACGGAATGACAAGCCTTGTAGGAATGAATATCCCTGGTCACACAGGAACTGGGTGGTGCATCTTTGTCTACAACCTGTCCCCTGATTCTGATGAGAGCGTCCTCTGGCAGCTCTTTGGCCCCTTTGGAGCAGTGAACAACGTCAAAGTGATCCGTGACTTCAACACCAACAAGTGCAAGGGATTCGGCTTTGTCACCATGACCAACTATGATGAGGCAGCCATGGCCATTGCCAGCCTCAACGGGTACCGCCTGGGAGACAGAGTGTTGCAAGTTTCCTTTAAAACCAACAAAGCCCACAAGTCCTGAATTTCCCATTCTTATTTACTAAAATATATATATAAATATATACGAACAAAACACACGCGCGCACACACACACATACACAAAAGAGAGAGAAACAAACTTTTCAAGGCTTATATTCAACCATGGACTTTATAAGCCAGTGTTGCCTAAGTATTAAAACATTGGATTATCCTGAGGTGTACCAGGAAAGGATTTTATAATGCTTAGAAAAAAAAGAAAAAAAAAAAAAAACAAAAAAATACCTTTGATGCATTGAATGTTCTTTCATAGCTGTCGTTGTTGAATATAATATACATAGATAGCGATGTGCAGGGATTTTTACCCAGCCAGCTAACTTTACTACCTTCCTTGAAGGTGGGTCTTTTTAAGATGACCATTCGCTCATTTGAAGAAGAAAAACAAAAAACAAAAAAAATAATAAAAATAAAACAATTTTTACAAAGTAATGGGATTCAAAGAAAGGAAAAAAAGATTTTTCTTTTTTGTCAAAATGTTGATCCAATCAGATTGGTAAAAACCCCCACACAAATTAAAGAGGAATAATAAAAATTGCAAAAATAAAAAAAAATTTTGCAAATTTTTTTATTTTTCCTTTTTTCTTTTATATCATGTGAACTAAAACAGTCTTCTGTTAGGGGATGGGGGCAAGGGGGATACCTGATGACATTAACAATTTAATAACATTAACATTGTTGCCAAAGAGGTGGTCTCTTTGCTGAAAATGGGTTTCAAGAAAAATCTATTTTTATAAAATATAAAGAATTTTTACAAGAGAATCTGGATTTGAGAAAAAAATATTTTGACTGGCTAATTTAGGGGAAATTGACAACTTTGTCGCGTTCATACTGCACTGGTAACTTTTTAGAGATCAAGATGTGTGTTTTAAACTGGATTCGTAGACTGTTTTTTGAAGGATGGGCTATAAACAGATGATCTTCATATCTTTTCATAGCATGTAATAATAATTAAAAAACAATTATTAATTACTAGGGGAAAGGAGTGTTCGTTCTACCCAGGGTACCACAGTTCCCCACAGTCAAAACCCAAAAGCAAGGAGATGAGTTGAAAGACAGTTTTTCTTTAAGTCATCAGTATGGGATGTCAGCAGAACAAAAATTAAAAAGATTAATTTTCCTTTTGATCTAAAACTTCCTTAGTTTGAGCAGTAGGTGCTACAAAATTATTTACATATCTTAGTATCATAGTTAAATGTAATGTGTTTAGGAGAGGAAAACAAAAGATACATTTGCTTTAAATTCATTAAGAAATTTTCAAATTCACTTTGTAGCCCATGCTGATAGAATTGGGCTGTGTTGGTACATTTGAAACACTGTTTATGTTGCTTGAAACTCTTATTTATTTAATCGCAGATGTGATGATGCCTATGGCCGAGATCAAATATAGCTAGATTGGCTAGACTACTTATTTGTTTACTTAAACTATGGGAAGAAGCATATTATTGTGTCATTCTGTTGTGTGTGTATGTGTATATACAATATAAATATATATATATAAAGTTATTTTTTCTTTGGGTTAATTTATTATAAGTTGTAACACTTGGCTAGTTTTGTTTGTATATGTCTTAAAATGTTTTCTTATGATATTTAAGTGACAGTTAAAGAGGTATCAAGGTAACTTGTGTAGAACTATTGTTTGATATATTGTCATGTTTGTTGTGAATATTTTTTCTTACTGCACAGTAGAAAAATAAAAACAACTGAGTCTTTATTTTAATGTAACTCAGATTGGGGAAAACAAAACAGAGCTAAGGGAACAAAATGACTGAGGGAGCACCCTCCCACGTCCAGTGCACTGATCATTTTAGTATGTTTGTGCTTTGTACGGTTATATATTTAAAACAAAAACAAAACAAAAAAATACAAGGGTTCATGCTCTTCCCTGGGTAATAGAAACAGTTACTCGCTATGCATAATCTAGTTGATAGTTAAATTTGCTATTGCTTTTCTTGTCTTGTTATATAAAATCTTTTCAATACAAGTTTAGTCTTAATGGTAATAAAACGTTATGGTTATTTATAACTTGTGCTTATTTTGTGCATTTTTTCCCATGCTGAACCCACTAAGTGCATGTAGACAGGACTGTTGTTTTCACACTGAAGAGGCAAACTTTGTAGTAGTCGTTGTAGTGGTAGACAGATAACGAATACCAAGGCTGCATCATAGACTCCTCCTTTAAATTTTTTTTCTGTTTTTTTTTTCCTCTTTTTGGTTTTGGATATAACACCAGATTTCAGTTCAGAGAACACTCGTTCAACATTCAGGAAAATCTTTTAACGTCACCTGCTATGAATGAACGCAGTTTGCTGGCAAAGTTTTGATGCATTTGCTAAGCATTAGTGGGAAAGGCATGCCAAAATCTTCTCTATAATGTGTTCAATCTTGGGGGAAAAAAAAAGGAAAAAAAATCTTAGGACCAGGCAGTTGTATACTTTAGTTATTAATGAATGACTTCATGTTAATCTTGCTAGTTTAGATGATTTCCAAGGGAAAGTATTGTAATTGTTTTTTTTTTTTTTCATAATCTTGTTGTGTTTGAATTATTTGTACTTTATCTGTCCAGACAATAAATGAAAGTGTGTAGAATGGATTTGACTTTCCAAATTTTTAAATGTGTTTATTCAAACTTTTTATATGTACCATCTTCAGATTTCCCCAATATTTTTATCATTAAACCAGGAAAAAAAAAAGGCAGAGTAAAATTCTATTTTGCAACTTAGCTCAGTCTCTTAAAATCAGTTCGATATTCAGAAGTCATTTTTCTGGTTCCATACTATTAAAAGTGTGGTGGTCCCCAGCCAGCAGTATCAACATCATCTGTAAGCTTGTTAGAAATGTAGACTCTGCATTTAACCAGATCCCCAGGTGAATAAATCACTGGTACTTCCAAGTTTGAGGAGCATTGCCCTGGTGGCTAAATCAGAACACTTGGCCTTACCTTTGGTGTTGATACATTAGCATCTGTTATTCATTTATAAGAAGGCTTGTGATTTGTTCAGAGGACAGGGAACCACCATTTGCAGAGCATCTATTGTGTAACGAACAGGTGGTGTGGTATGGTATTCCCTACATTCTCACTTTATTCTCAGCAACCCAAGGGGTATAGACAACATTATCCTCATTTCACAGACGACAAAACTGAGGCGCAATAAGAATAGTAACTTGACACCACAAGGAAATTTTCAGCTGGGATTTGAATCCAAGTCTGATTCTACTGCACAACACCTCAGCATTGAGGTTGCAGAACTTGAGCAATATTAAGAAAGCAGACCATTTGCATTGAAAGTGACAGCCAAGAAAGAAAGGTCACTTTATTTTTGTTTAAAAGTAGCAAATATTTGGCTTTCTTACCTTTGAATAGAAAGTCTAAACAAGGAATTACTCATTATGTGTCTAAAGAATAGGATTTAAGCTCAACCTAGGGAGAGAAAAACTGCCTACATTATCATGAAGTCTCTTTAAAATATGCCCTGAACTTTACAGATTAGCTTTTTAGTGATTTCCTGATACAATCACTCATTGATGATCTACTGTCTTTCATTTTCATTTTCTCACTAACTGAAAATTTATACTCTGTGAAACATTGCCATCCATAAACTGACACTTCATGAAATGTCCCCACTGAGCCAGATGAACAAATAGTCTGATTCTCTTCTATTTCTAATTAACCTCTTTTTTATTATTATATTAAGTTACCACATTGGTTGGAATAATTAAATTCAGGGCAAAGAATGGGATTTAATTAATCAAACTAAATATTAAACCTCTAAGTCAGCCTGAACCTCATATAGTTGAACTTAAAGGTTCTTTTTATAGTTTTATCTTAAAGACAGCCCCTATGTTTCTTTTCTGGAGAATAAAAAAAGGGCATTCAAAAGAATAGTTTCCCACAGGGATAACACAGCTTCACAACCGTGTTTGTAGGTCTAAAAACGTTGCTGCCAAACCTATGATAGTTGCCAGTCATCACCACCCCTGCTCCTTAAAGGTGTCATTTTAGTGTACTTTAAATGGACAGCTGCTTTTTTGGGGGGATATCCAAAGTTGGTACAGTGTTCCCAGTTCATATAGTTCATTCACCTGCCTCCTACAGATCTATGCTGAAAGTTTTACAAATAGATGTAGGTATTTAAAGAGGTCTTGAAAATATCCGTGGAAGACATTCTACATATACTGTTTCAGAAACACTTTCCAGCAACAGCACAATGTGTCTGCCTAACATCTAATAAAAATTCATCTTGTTGCGAGTATAAGCCTGTTACCTTAAATCTCCAGGCAAACATATATAGTTTCTGTAGGTGTTTGTGGAAAAGGTCTAACAAATCACAAGAATACTGACATTATTAAATTTCTTTGAGGTCCTAGGTACGTTATATTTTGCTTGGATGAAAAATTGGACGTCATAGAAAGCTGACGGCATTTACTTAGTGTTATTTCTGTCGTGATAGGAGGAGTGCAAAAAAAAAAATGTGCTTGTATCTAAAACCACCCCACATCATCACCATCCACATCAAAACTTCTTACTTCTATTACCGAAGATCAAACACTGACCAAATGATGGTTACTGCCAGAAATTTAAATGTCTTTCATCAAGATCAATCATCCTTTGCTTATTTGTAAATAAAACATTTTAACCCCCAAAGAATAACATTTAAATGTACATTTGAAACTCACAAGGTCTTGTGGGGCCCATATTCTCCTTGAGTCAGTATTTGGGTGTGGATGCTTTTAACCTTGTTAAAATGCAGCACATAATTGCCTTTACCATAAGGTAATTCCAGAAACTCTCAGTCCTTGAAATTATTTTGCCCTTACTTCCTGTAGGCACTATGCATTTCTTCCTTAACACACACATACATGCAAACACACAGAGGCAAGTGTTTGTGCAAGTATGAATTTTTTTTAACTTTCACCTGTGAATTAAAAAATGACACCTGATAAGATAGCATTAACCACAAGAGTGTGCTTTCTAAACCAAAGAGTCATTAAAATCTTAATTTGAGGCCATCTTGCCTGGATACTTCCACAGCGTTCATGAAAGCTCACAGAACAGAGTTCTAATATCCTTGCACCCTTCACTGCCTTTGTTCTACCTGAAGAAGAGAATAATAAAAGGAAATTACATTTTATTTCCATGAGCTGAAATCAAGTTTTAATATTGTCCAAAAATGACTCGTACCATTCCCTTATCTTATTAGCTTTTTGGCATATTAGGTAATAAGATAATTTCTCATGGTACAGTATTTATGTAAGAATCATATTTCTCTCTGTGCAGATCACTTACTGAAGTGTCTGTTAACAGGAGAGAATGATACATAATCGGCACTTAAGATTAAAATAGACCTGAGAACATAAAAGTGTTCCTTCAATTAAAGGAATAGTGTTTCTCCAGTCTCGTCCTTTTTGTTTCGGCAGCAGAATGAAAACTGGCTTAAAATCTCCCAACCCCGGGTTAATTCCCAGAAGGTTTTTCTATGCAAGTTCAGCTTAATCTACTAGTGGTTCAAATGCAAAGTGGACTCATATGACATTCCAGTATGCCATGTAATTATTTCAAACAGTTTTCAGCAAAGTCCTTAAGGTTTAAGAAATTGTTTCTAGAAAGAGCACTGGCATTTAAGTTTTTCCTATGCCAGGCACTCTATATGTATATAGTCTTAGTGAGGGGTATCATTCCCCATTTACATTGGACAAAAAGAAACTCAGAGAGATTAGGTATTTTGTGAAAGTGAGTAAGTAGGTGGTAAAGCCAGAATTCAAACCCAGGTCTGTCTGATCCCCAAGATCCCCAGTTATATACCCTGGCTCCAAGTCAATTATGTTAGAATTAGATCCAAAACAATTACCAAGTGGTCCACACCTCAACTAAAGATGAGACAAGTCCTATTATATAAGAAATAAAGGAAATTATATTAATGTACTGTGCCTGAGTCTAACCCTCTCCCCAAATCTTTAATGGAAAAACAAACCAAACAACACTGGTTTATAAGCAAATTAACAAAGGAAAACTAAAAGTCATAGTTTCTCAGCACTGTTGCTCAGCAGTATTTAAACATGAAATTAGTTTCTTAATAGGTCTATTTTAACCACCAAAAGTCATTGAGGTAGAAAGGAGTTGAGGATAGGACAGACAGGTAAGAATGTTAACAAGCCTACTTAAGGACCCTCAGAGCTGGCCCCATGGGTCTCCCCAGGTGATAGGACCCACTGTGGTCCGCAGATGGGTCCACTGTGCTGTGTGGACCAAGAGCACCATAGTGGCCACTCCTTTCGCTATCTGTATTGCCTCTGAATCCTAAGAACAATCCTGGGAGGCACATAACATAATCCCCATTTTACATCTGACAAAAACGGAGAAGTTAAATACCTTGCCCAAAGTTGCACAGCATGTTGCAGGGTGGGAATTTGCACAAAAGTCTTCAGGTTCTGATCCAATGTCTTTCTACTAAACCATATTGATAGCTTTCAATGTGACAGCATTTGTTGATCATCTACCTAGGTGTTGAGGTATGGCAGGGTGGGGGTCGAGGAAATCAGCCTAAACTGTGTCTACACTAGAACCCTTACTCTGAACAGCTGCCATATGCCAGATACTCAGCTAGGGGCATGATAAATAAACATGTCTAGGGTTTTGTTTTGTTTTGTTTTGTTTTTTGTAACCTGTTTTGTGCATGAAATTGTGCAACAGAAAACCAAAAAAACAAGAGAGGAAATTTAGAGTTCTATTACAAAGACAAGACCTGTGGGACAATCTTCTAGCCACAGAATAGCTTCTGCATTGGAGGGAGAATTTCAGGAGACTTTTAAAATCTGTGGGGAGTAGAAGGAGTATTCTGGGACCCAGGAAGGAAGGAGAGTTTGCCCTGATGGAAAGAGGACTAGCTCTACTGAAAAAGTTCTGGATTTGGGTCCCAGGGGAAAAAATTTAATGTCTCTGAGATTCCTGATCACAGAAGGAAGGATTAGAAGTAAAATATGCCAAGTTCCTGGCACTGAATGAAGAGTAGCAGGAATTAAACAATAGCCAGAATGAGCAGAACACTTGGGCCAGGCCCTTCGGCAGGGAGAGGTGGGTTTGGTGGATGCCCCTGGATGCAAAGAACCAAGAAATCCTGTTTGGTCACTTCAAGTGAGGGAGGGAAGAAATAGTAGGAATACATGTGGAAATAAGTTGCTGGGAATCTCACTTGGCCTCATGGAACTTAAGCTGCTTTTGAAATATAGTAACTCCAGCCACTTACCAGCAGAATCTCTGATTGCGCTCAGCAACCAGAGACCCCATTGGTCCCTCCTCTGGTGTCTGGCCATTACTGTGTCAGCCACTCCATCTCATTCACTCCTGATAATTAGACTGCTGTGAGCATCATGAAAAAGTCACAGGGATTTTGCCTCAGGGTAAAGGGGTGGAGGATACACTAAGGAGCTTAGGTGGGCAATAGTGGGAAGGGAGAGCACAGGAATAAAAGGAAAAGGGTTGGTTATGCAGGCTGAGCCAGGGAACATCTTTAGGAAAACAGAGGATCAGAAGGCTTTTGAGCAGGGAAGTGAGGGCCCTGGGTTCATAAGTAAATATCTGGTAAAGGGCAAATATCTCTAAGCCCTACTCCCTTTGGCTGTAGGAACAAGAAAGAATCAAAAGTTCTGTCTCAGCCAAGATGCGAAATGAATCCAATTAAACCATTTGTAAAGGGTAGTCCTCTCTTGCTTGTCACACAATCAGCCTTGTCATTGCCTGGTAACTTAGCTCTGGAAAGCCCTTGGAAGTCAGTTCAACTCCCTCAGAAGTCAATTGAATCCCTGAGAGATTTAAAAGGGCTTTGAGTTGTCCAGCCTCTACGTCACTCTATGTAACTAGTTATCAACTTATTCCACAAATATTAGGGTTCCTCTCCTTAAAATGCCCTTTCCTCCACCCCAAACCCACGTTTTTCTCAAAGCATGCATGTACCACCCACCTGCTTGTTCAGCTCAGGATTCACTGCCCCCTGGAAACCTTTCTTGACCTTGGCTGGATTAAGGATTCCTTGACAATCCCACATCCCTCTGTTTTCCTGTATCACAGCACACTCACATACCATATTGTACTGCTGCATGCAGCCTCCATGGGGACAGAGGAATCTGGCATGGTTCCTGCCTTGGAAAAGCTCAGGTGTAAGCAGAGCATAGAAGGGCAAGAGCAAATCTGCAGGGCGTTTGGGGAGCACAGAGAAAAGAGCAGTCAATTCTAACTTCGTTGGGTGAGGTGAGGTTGAACTGTAATAAGAAAGGCATCCTAGACATGTTTGGGACTTAGCTGTCTCATGGAAGATAGAGCAGACTTGGACAGGTAGCATTGGAGTGAGGCAAAGGGCATCCCACTGGGAATAATGGAAGTGATCCAGGACCAGGATTCAGAATCGTCTGCTTTGCCCCTGATTTGCTGTGTAATATTGGGCAAGTCACTGGTCCTCTCAATTTCACAGAAGTTAAAGGAAGGTGTGAGACTAGATGGTTTCTGCTGGTCTTGCTCCTGCTGACTCCTAGACATTCATCTGCCCCTACATTTTTCATAGGGTCAGCAAATATTTGTGTCACTGAGGAAACAACGAGAGGATGAAAAAGATGGCTATATACAGCTGGGGTAAGTGCTGTCAAGATCAAGTGCAGGATGTTCTGACAATGAGCAACAGCACCTGCCTGGCTGAGGAGGAGGAACACCCTTTCTCAGACTGTGGCATTTGAGCCGAGATCTGAAGAATGAGGACCATGTGTCCCATCCCAGGCCAGGGTAACAGCACGGGCAAAGGGCCAGAGTGGAGGGGAGCAATGTTTCAGCTGAGGGGCTGAGAGGAACTCAGTGACTCAGCAGTGGAGAGGGGAATGGGGCTGGGGCAGGAGTGGTAGCAGGGACCAGATTATCAAGAATATTACAAGCCACAGAAAGGACTTTGATCCTTACGAGTAATGGGAAGGGCCTACATTTTAACCAATGGGTTCTCTTCTCTCAACCTCAGTTTACTCATTTTGATGAGTAAACCCCTCTCATAAATCTATATCTAACCTATATATTTATATCTGTCAATCTGTCATCTCTATTGATTCTGTTTCTCTGGAGAACCTTGACTATTACACTCATCTGTAAAATAGAGATGACCGATAACAGTACTTATAAGGTCTCTTATAAGGGCCTTATTTAGTGTTGGGAGGGTCAAATGCATTAAAATGTGTTAAGTGCTTAAAACACTACCTGGCAGATAGTAATGACTATATAAATGTTTGCTATTACTACTGCTATCATTCTTATTATTCATCTAGCTAATTCTTACACATACCTCAAAATTCACCATGAATATCTTCTCCCCGGGAGCTCCTTCCTCAACCTCTCAGACAAAGTTATGTACCATTTCTCTGGGTTCCCAAAGTCCTCTCTCACCCTGTAGAATAGTTTGTTGCCTACCTCTATGCCTTCTCCCCTAAACCATAAGCTCATCGATGGCAAGTACTGTGCCCCATTCATTAGTACAAAATTATGCACAAAAAGAATGCCAATGAAAGTGTGCAGCTATGGTAGGCTGAATAATGGCCCCCTAAAGATGTCCACATTCTAATCCCTGGACATGTGAATATGTTATCTGTCTTAGCCTATTTGTGTTGCAGGTCTTTTCCTTAGCTCCGCTAAAGATGGCGTTCTTTGTCCCACAGCCATGAAAATTCAGGCTCACAGACTATTTGGATGGTGCGTAAGACAGGGTATTATTGGGTGAAATGGAAGAAAAGGGGAAACAGGGACTCTCACAAGGCCACAGTACCTGCTAGAGCACTTCCCAGCTGGCCATTCTAATCCCAGGACCCACACAGGAAGAGGAGGTGTCAGGTTCCTCCCTGCTGCAAATGTCATGAACTTCCCCAGGTGCCACCTCAGTTGACAGGCCAGATGGAGTTTCTCCATGCACCCCCCTCCCACCTGGCTGTCTCATTTGGGCTGCTATAACAAAACATCTTAAAATGGGTAATTTACAAACAACAGAAATATATGGCTCACAGTTCTGGAGGCTGGAAAGTCCAAGATCAAAGCGCCAGCAGATTTGATATCTGGTGAGGATTTGCTATGTGT